CACCTGGAGGCCGTCCTTCTCCGCACCTGGAGGCCGTCCTTCTCCGCACCTGGAGGCCGTCCTTCTCCGCACCTGGAGGCCGTCCTTCTCCGCACCTGGAGGCCGTCCTTCTCCGCACCTGGAGGCCGTCCTTCTCCGCACCTGGAGGCCGTCCTTCTCCGCACCTGGAGGCCGTCCTTCTCCGCACCTGGAGGCCGTCCTTCTCCGCACCTGGAGGCCGTCCTTCTCCGCACCTGGAGGCCGTCCTTCTCCGCACCTGGAGGCCGTCCTTCTCCGCACCTGGAGGCCGTCCTTCTCCGCACCTGGAGGCCGTCCTTCTCCGCACCTGGATCTCCCTCTGACCGGCAGTGCCAAGGTACCATTGAGCCATAGGTGGTGTGACACCCCACAGTGACGTCACACGTGGTACCGCCATTACCTGCCGGCGGCCATCTTGGTGATGGACGCCGGCAGAGAGAGGAGGGGACGTCACCTGGCGGGATAATGGATAATCAGGAAGCCGGGCGGTGGGTTATGACCCGCCTCCTGAGTGGCTAGGAAGACTGTTTCACTTGTTGCTAGGCAGTCTGTCTTCCTAACCAATCAGGAAGCTGGGCGGCATGCAATGAACCACCTCCAGGCTTCCTGATTGGTCATAACCCTAACCCTATGAGAAATGTGACGCCGGCATCTATGTTAACCAGTTGCCGTCCGCCCGGTGTAAAAAAACAGACAGACGGCACTGCTGCATTGGCGGGTTAGCGCACGGGCAGAGAAGACCTGTGCACTGCAAACACCGTTAAAATTTCGGTAATTTTTCCTGAATATAGTAAAAAATTACCCCAGGGGTGAATAAATACCCCCAAAGGAAAGCTCCATCTGCCCCCAAATAATGGTATAAAATTCATGTCAGTGCGGCGTTGTATGACGGAATAAATGTCAGTCAAAGTACCGCAGCGCTGAACACTGAACAATGGCTGCCACAGGAAGGGGGAGGGGGCACCGCGGATGCCAACTGGTTAATCAGGAAGCCAGAAGGCGGGTCGTAACATGCCACGAGGCTTCCTGATTGGCTAGGAAGCCAGCTTCACTTGTTGGTAGGCAGCCTGGCTTCATAATCGATCAGGAAGCCTGGTGGTACTTCATGACTCGCATCCCGGCTTTCTGATTGGTCAGGAAGCCACGCTGCCAAGAAAAAAGTGGCTAAGAAGCTGGCTTCAATCAGGAGGCGGGTCCACATCATGACTGGAACACCCGCTTCACAGGCATGATCCGCCGCCCCACTTCCTGATAATTGGGGCACAAGGCACCGGTATCGGCATTTGGTATTCAAACTCTATACCGAAAAAACGCTATCGGTGCCTCTCTAACGCACTAACATGGAATCGTGGTGCTGGTGACATCTGTATTGGCGTTCTTTTGTGGGCGGTGCCCTCCGCAGTCATTACCGGCACCCGTTACTTTTGGGATATCCGGTAAGGAGTGCGGCAAGGTATAGTGGGGACCGGGGGCACAATGTTATTTAATATGTGCAGAGTCCAAACTTTACCAAAGAATTGCCGCCCGGCGCAACTGTGTTCAGGGGTTTGGCTTGAAGAAAAGGTGGCAGCCCTACCCTGTATACTCCAGCTTCCTGTCTGTCCCCCCCCTGTATACCCCCCACTTCCTGTCTGTGTCTCCCCTGTATACCCCCACTTCCTGTCTGTGTCTCCCCTGTATACCCCCACTTCCTGTCTGTGTCTCCACTGTATAGCCCCATTTCCTGTCTATCTCCCCCTGTATACCCCCACATCCTCCTTGTATATCCTAACTCTTTGTGCGCTGGCTCTTTGCCCCCCTTTTCCTGTGCGGATGGTGTTGACGTTCAGTGTTGATGATTGAGCGCGGTGTTACGTTGCGGCCTCTGATGAGCCTCCATTCTTCTCTCTCAGGTCGGGAAGACGTCGTCCTCAGTTACGAGTCCGTCGCACAGATGGAAGGTAGGCGTCTAATATCAGACATTTCTCTTAAAGGGACAGTGCACCCTGTATATGAGATGGACTTCCCAGATTTCTACATTTGCCACCCAATCAGAGTCTCAATCATGTGCAATGCAAGGAGAGGATTGGGAACCCCGAACCCCCAAAGTGGGGGGAGCTCAGAACACGAGTCCTCCTGGATGAAGCAGACTCGTAGACTTTGGCTGTTCAGACGTATTTATGGTTCGTCCTCCATGTCACTTACTGAATCTCTTCTCTCTCTGTCCAGTTCATTATGCTCGTCCAATCATAATCCTCGGTCCCGGGAAGGACCGAGTGAACGATGATCTTCTTTCTGAGTTTCCAGACAAGTTTGGCTCCTGTGTCCCCCGTGAGTATTTCTATTCCGTGTGTTCACCTAATCCTAACACGCCTGCAAGGAGAACCTCAGCCGCCATTTATAGACCCGATACATCCCAAATATAGAGCCATTTATCCAACTGTCCATCCAGAGCCGCCATTTATAGACCGGATACATCCCAAATATAGAGCCATTTATCCAACTGTCCATCCAGAGCCGCCATTTATAGACCGGATACATCCTAAATATAGAGCCATTTATCCAACTGTCCATCCAGAGCCGCCATTTATAGACCAGATACATCCTAAATATAGATGTATATAGAGCGGTGACTACAACACACACACAAGGACCATGGGGAACAGACGTAGTCACCCCCCAGAAGGAAGGACAGAGATGATTGGAGGATGCACACATAAGAGACATTGTTGCTGGGAGTTCGGGGACTCGGAGGGAGTTTCGTGTCACTTGAAGAACTCTGACCCATGAAAACCTTCCCGTGTGTCAGAGGAGAAGAAATCGCACACATCGCAATGTTTTGTTGTTCCTCCTCCAGATACAACGCGCCCCAAGCGGGACTACGAGGTGGACGGCAGAGACTATCACTTTGTCTCCTCTCGGGAGAAGATGGAGAAGGACATTCAGAGTCACAAGTTCATTGAAGCCGGGCAGTATAATGGCCACTTATACGGGACCAGTGTGCAGAGTGTGAGAGAGGTCGCAGAGCAGGTAGTGGTACCTCAATCCATTCCAAGTATTCCTACTCCCATCCTCCTCCTCTGCACCTACCCCGGTACTACATCTCCATCCTCCTCCTCTATACCCTCCCCAGTACAACATCTCCATCATCCTCCTCTACACCCCC